TTGCTGAACCATTACCTTTGTGTACTAAAAGGCTATTGAGAAAATTTCCTCTTTGTATGGTCTGTAGTTTTACTTCATCTTTTTGTATACAGCTAGTATCGGTTATGTGTTGGAAACATGTTTGTATGTTGTATTGGTTCTAATGTGTTTTTAGAATTGAACTCAGTTTGACAAAGTTTGCCTAAATGTGTGTTGGTGTTTGAGCACTATGGGTTGTTTCTTCTTGAAGTTTAATCAATCATGTTTGTATTAGTTTGAGTGTGTTTTGGCTCATTAATGGCCAATGAGCAAGGTTGGGTTGGGATAGAATAGGAAAGAGGGGAACCCTGGTAAATTGAGTTGTCTCCTGCTTAGTGGCACAGCTTGCAGTTTCGTGCAAAATCTAGAAGTTTAAATGGTTAGGTGCTGTTTTGTAATTTGAGTTGGGAGATTTTGGTTGTTGTTTTGGGTTTGTATTTTGTGTTCTGTGCTATTAATTTGAATGTAAAAAAAACCATGTATGGTCTCTAGTATTTTAGGTGACATGGGTTTGAATTCCTTTATTTAGTTGGTTGGTCCAGTTGGCTAATGCTATGTGGTATCTCACAGAAATTTCCTTTTTTCGCCTTTATTTATGGCATGTTTGAATCACATTTCAATTCTGTTGAATGTAAAAGCTTTGTAGCTTTGTTGTCAGAATTCGGGATTCAACTAAAACAAGCACACACTTGGTCTGTCCAGTTGACGATTTGAATAAGGAATTATTGCCATTGATTTAGATGTATTCTTTGTGTGTAGAGGTTTGAATGCAAAATTAGTTCCTTTTTAAAGTCCTCCTCTTCTTTCTAATTTTCATGGGACATAGGTTGTGTTTTTTTGGTCATATCACTAGTCCAATGCTTTATGTGGGATTTCCAACACAGTGATGAAGTCAGTTGCATGCGTATATGTTTCATCCACTCCAGTTTTCTAATCTATAATTTAATTACTAAGCTGGATAGGGAACAGTCTTTTTAACGTATTTCTTATGCTCAGGTTGGAGTACTTATTGGCAAAGCTGGTGATACTATACGATACCTGCAGTATAATTCAGGTGCAAAGATTCAGATCACAAGGGATGCTGATGCTGATCCTCACTGTGCAACAAGGTCTGTTGAATTGATTGGAAGTTTGGAAAGTATTGAGAAGGCAGAAAAATTAATGAATGCTGTAATTGCAGAGGTATGATATCATCACCAATCTTTATCTCACTCCTGCTGATATCCTTTTTGTTTTTTTGCATTTATTCTAACACTTTTTTTGATGGTTTGTTTTGAGATTCTACAGGCTGATGCTGGGGGTTCTCCTTCACTTGTAGCTCGAGGCCTCTCCCCTGCTGAAGTTACTGTGGGCTCCGAACAAATTCAGATTCAAGTTCCAAATGAAAAGGTCATTATTCATGTTTTATGTTAATGAGTATCTCTATCTTGTTTTTATTAAAGGTCATTATTCATGTTTTATGTAAATGTATATAACCTCAAGTCACATGGGTTTCTTTTATGTAGGTTGGGTTAATCATAGGGAGAGGTGGGGAAAATATTAAAGGAATGCAGACAAAATATGGGGCAAGAATCCAGGTAGTTGTTATCGTTTGTCTTGAACCTTTTTGTCATGTATGGTTCAGATGGGATCTAAACTGGAATTATTCTGCTAATATTGAGCTTTATGTTGACGATTAAAAATTTAACAATAATGACAATAATTTGATTCATAGAGACGGTTAATTTAGAACTAAATAACTAGTGTTTCCTTATTTCCTCTGCATCTCAAATCATTCTTATTTTAGAATTTTAAGGTAGTTGTGACTTTTATTTGAAATACATCACTCACTATAAACTGATGAATAGATCTGGAAAATATGAATTGTTAAGTATTTTATGCAGAAGAGAGCAATGGTGACAATACCGATGGGCATATCAATTTGAGTTAGTTATCTGTTATCAGTTCAGAGAAGAAATTGCTTATCACACTTTTTTAAAGTTAAATTATTCAATGCTATCATATTTTTTTTTAATCTATATAACAGTCCTGTACTTGTAAGCAATTGCGGTTTTTCATGCCGGGAACATTACGTTTCTTGCCTAAACATAGATCAATTAATATCAAGGATTGTGTGAGTTGCTTAAATGTCATCAGAATTAGGCATAATAGCAAGCACATGACTTTATAGATTTAATATAATGTTTTTCTCTAAAAATAAAAGTGAATCTGTGTTAAGATCATACATTGTCTAAGAATAAGATCAAGGTACTCCAAATAAGACTTTGGAAATCCTCCCCCTTTGAATTTAACTTATTGGGTTGAGATAGGCATTAGTCTATTTTCAATCTGGTAGAAAAGCCTATCTAGTTTTTATGCTGGGCCATATGCGGATGTCCAATCTTACAAGCTTCTCTATCCAAATGTCTAAACTTGAGTGTGAAGGGCTTATGCTAAGATCCAACATTGACCAAGAATATAGCCAAGCTACAGAGGTACTCCCAGAGACTTGGGCAATCCTCCCCCTTGTGCTAGCTTTTGGGGTTGAATTAGGCTTTAGTCCATTCCTAACAGAATCAACTTCATATTCAATAGTTTGATTTGGGCTTCTATCTGTTTGTGTTTGTGATTGTATAGGTACAAGATCGTAGCCAAAGGGAACTGGACAAAGCATATTTATTAATAATGCTCAATAGTAATGCTATTGAAGCCTTAAAATTCTGTTGCAGAGTCTTGAGCCTGCCATTGTGACTATTGCAGCCAAGACCGTGAACAGGGGCTAAAGGGGCTAAAAAAATTATCCCTTCCACCTATTTTGTGTAGTTTGGTCTGTTTTTTTGGGGTTTTTTATTTTCCAATTTTTTTATCATAATAAATGTTTTTAATACCCTTTTTCAAATATTCTTTCATTCAAACATCCACAGCCTTTGTTTTGGTGCAACACCTTTGATCCACTGCTCACTGGCATAGTTTTGGTCAAGCCTGGTGTGTTCTGGCCAAACCATGCAACCAATTGTTCTGTTCTGCATTTCCTCTGTAGCCCATCTCAGTTTTCACACAGGTCTTTCCATCAGTTATTTGTTCTGTCACAATGTTGCTAGCAATTTTTGTCATGTGTATCGAGTTTATTTTCTGCTCAGAGGCTTAAACTTATGTTATTGCATGATGTTTCTTGCTATTGATTTGGGTGTTTAGCTTGACACTGACTTTTGAATAGTAATTATGAATGTCCTTAATGTTAGGTGATTTTCCCTCTATTTTTAACATTAATGTATATGTATAACGGACTATTTAACTTGAGTTAAAATCTGTGCTATATTGACCACCTTGCTATCCTAGGGGTTTTGGGTGTCGCTGCTGTATCAAAATCGTGGATTGATAACCGAGGAACTGGCAGTTCTGCTATTCCGATCAACATCAAATAGTCTTGATTTTGTTGCTATGCATAATGTAATTGTAGTTTTTTGTTGAGAATGATATATCATTTGGTGCTCAAACACCATTAAGAAATTCAGCATCTTAGAGTTTGTTCAATTTATAATTATTTGTTGATAGTTGTCCCCTCTAGTAAGATAGTTTTATAATTTTATAATCTCTTTTCTTTAATGCATAATAATGTAATTGTAGTCTTTACAATAAGGGTTTGACACTTTTGAGAGGGAGAGATTTGATTGATGAGATTCTCGTAAGATTCTCCCTTTTATTTTTCTGTTTTGAATTTAGCTTGTGGATTCTGACCAGCTTCTCTTTTCATGTTTTAGTTGATACCTCAACATCTTCCAGAAGGGGATGATTCTAAAGAAAGAACTGTACAAGTTACTGGTGATAAGAGGCAAATTGAACTTGCTCAAGAATTGATTAAGGAAGTCATGAGTCAGGTTTGTTTGACTTTATGTGGCTTTTGCTGAGAAAGTTTACAATTTTAATGTTCAGATGCTATTTGTGCTTAATTTTTTATTATTATATTATATTAATGTTGATGCTTCTGCATTGTTGATGATTTATTGATATCTTTTTTTATATTGTGATTTTATATTGAGATATATGCATGTGTTGAATTTGGCTGAACCAATTGCAGTAATTTTTTATTTTATATATATATATATTTTTTTTTATGACTTGTGGGTAGTCTTTATTAATTTGTATTACTGCATCCAAAACCATATTTGTGCCAACTTCCATTATCTGTTCTTTTCTTTGAATGGGAATCTGAGGTTTATATGCTGTGGTTTCATTGGGTATTACAACCGTTGCTTGCAAAATTTTGGTTCTGGACTGGTACTTGTGGAGTTCTGGTGTTGGTGAGATAAAGTACTATGTGGGGGGATGCCATGTAATGCTCTTGAAAGTATGTATCGCAAGTTTGTGACTGATGTTGAATTTATTCCTTATAATTATGAGGTTTATTTATCACTTCATTTGAAACTTAATGCAAAAAGTATCCATTTTAAATCGGGATCTAGACATTTTCCATGTAGTTTTGCATGTATAAAATATAGGTCTACACCAAAACTTAATATTTTTATGTTTAGTTCTATTTGGGTTCAGTGCCGCTCCACAATTGTATTTGTGAAAGCAATAGAAATCTTGATTGTGTTCAAGGAAGTGTCCCTTGTATTCAATGCCTGTATGATCCATTTATGGAAGTATTGTATCAATTGCTGCCAATAGAAGTGAGATTGATCACCTGAAAGTGTTCGTGAGTTTGGAAATTGATTGGGTAATACATGCCAAGGTCAATTAAATCTTCTAGGAAGATCGTATATGTAAACCAAGATGTCAGTTGCAATGATTTATTTATCTTGAAGGTGCCAATTTCGAATTGGTTGGCTTTAAAAATGCAGATTTGGCTATTGCCTTTTCCCTGGGGTCAGCATTGCTTTCTTGATGTAGCATAGACAACATATTCACTTTCATCCACTGAAGAGAGGTGGCTGGCATTTAAACCTCACATTGCAGGATGTTTAATGGTTGGTAAGAATGCTTCAAGACTTAAAAATCATGATTCAGTAAGACTATGTTGTGCTGGCCTTGGTGCTCAAATAGAGCTGCTGTGTGATTTGCATGAGACCTTTTGGAAGGAGAGTCATACCTGGTGAAGTAATGGAGTCTGATGAATTTAACTGTGTTGGGGTTGTATTCCTTTATATGCTCATCTAGTTCTATACTGAGAAATATTATAATACGCAATTCATGTTATCGTGTGTATTGAGGTTGGGGAAATTGCAATATGTAGTCATATGATCAGGGGTCAGTGCCAGTATTCATTTTACATGCTCTCTATAACATATTTAGCTTGATGATAGTCATGGTTTAAAGTACTAGCGTGTTAGATGAATGTTACATTGGTTTTGTATAGATAAAAGGACAAGGAAACCTTGTTGATCATGTTAATTAAAACATTAATTTTGAATATCGAAAACTTCAGTGTGCTTTTGTGGATCTTCATAACATAGTGGAACTCCTGTCGTGTTTGATCCTCAGCCTTTAATTAACATGCATTTAAATTTAAATTTTCTTTTTGCTGTTCTTATCATTACCTTTCATGACTGGGTTAATGGTTATAGGCAACATTGACATATTTAATATTGGTCCCTTCTATGTCAACCTGATGTTTCTAAGTATCAAGTTTTCACCTTATTCTGCTTTAAACATTTTTCATAGAACATGTTGATATGTTAAGGAGCAGAAGTTAAACTTCAATTGTAAGATTGGCTAGCCTTGGCTAGTCATTGAATTTATAGATTGAAATATAGCTTGTAGAGCATTTTGAGTTTTGCTTTGTCATTCTCAGGCTCCTTCCTTTACCCTTCCTTGTTTGCTGAGGTGAGATCTTTTTACCTTGTGATAACATCAAACATATGGTTATTGTCTACTTGATTAACCTACTGTGGTCGAGCTACTGATGATGTGCAATATAGATGATAGTCTGCTGCACATGCTACTGTTTCCATCCAGTTTCAGTTACATCTTTATAAAATTCTGATGACTTAGTTTGTGTACCCCGTTGATGACATTTACCTGATTATGCAATTATAGATGTATTTCCGTTGACATTACACCAAACAAATTTTTCATTTCTTTTACTTTATAACTTCTTTTGGTTGGGAACATCCTTTCACTATGATTTTGACTAATCATGGCTATTTTTTTCTTCTCAAAATGTGATTTTGACTAATCATGGCTATTTTATGTTTTCTCCAAATGGGTATGAAAAGTTGTTTGTCTGAGCTCTATGTATACTGATATTATTCTGATTAAGCAAATGTTCCTATTTACTTACTTTATCTTGTGTTTTGCTTAAATAGCCAATCAGACCATCATCTGGTGGCTTTGGCCAGCAGGCCTATCGCCCACCCCGTGGTTCGGGTGGCCCACCCCAATGGGGCCAGCGGGGTTCTCATTTTGGCCACCCAACAGCATATGATTACCAGCATCGCGGGCCATACCCTTCTCACAATCAACCATATGCTCCTCCACCATATGGAAACTATCCTCAACATATGGCTCCAAGAAGCAATTTTGGTACTGGTTGGGAGCAAAGGCCTCACCACAGTTTTCAGGGGCCACCCCCACACAATGGTGGTTATGACTATTATGGAGGACAAGGGGGTCATTTATCCGATGCACCACCATCCACACAGCATCCCAGTTCAGCGCCCCCTCACGGTGCTGGTCCTTCCCCTCTACCTTCTATGGGCCCAACCCCAGCTCAGGTGAGTTACAATTATGGACAGCCCCAAGGCCAGGATTATGGTCATCAGGCACCTTATTCTCAGGCAGGACTTCCTCAACAAGGTTATGGACAGGGATATGACGAGTCTTCCAAGTATGAAAATCGTGCTCCCACTCAACATTCCTATGGAGGACATGTAAATACTCAACCGACCTACCCTCAGGCTGGTGCTCAACCTAATTACCCTGCACAACAGCAGTATGGCAAGCCACCATTATATGGCATGCCATCACAGGGACAGCCTCCACAATCTTATGGTCACCCTAGAGCTGCTCAACCAGTGGATATGCCGTATCAAGGTTCCACTCCTGCCCAACAGTATGGCACCAATATCCCAACACAACAACCATACCCATATGCATCACAAACAGCATATACAAGTTATGGGTCTGCACCAGCACCAACTGCAGATGGCTACAGTCACCCACCGCCTGCATCTGTCCCATCTTATACCCAGCCCGGTGTGCAAACTGGTTATGGACAGCCAGCTGCCCAGCCTGCAGCCAGTTATGCTCAGGTTGGTCATACTGGTTATGGATCATACCCAACATCACAACCAACTTACCCTGAACAACCAGCTCCCAACAATGCTGTGTATGGCTACCAAGCGCCCCAAGACCCTGCTAGTTATAGCAGTGGTGGTGCACCAGCAGCATATAGTGCAGCCCAACCAAGTGGGCAACCAGGGTACGTTCAACCGGCACCGACTCAAACTGGTTATGAGCAGGCTAACGCACAATCAGCAGCAGCAGCAGCTTATGCGGCTGTACCAGCAAGTGCTCCTGCTGCATATGGCAAGACATTGTCGCCCCAGCCCGCTGCTTATCCCCAATACGATGCCACCCAAGTTTATGGTGCTCCTCGATGATGTTTTTCATGTTAACCAAATCCCTAGTATTAGCATATGTTATAATTCGATGGCTCCTTTCCGTGTAACTTGCTTTTCATTCTCGTGTAATCTGTACCGCTTTAAATTATGAACACGAAAATATAATTTTTCTCCATTGTTCTCCGATGTTATGATTTCTTGAAAATAGTTAACACGGGCTGTTGTTTAAGTTAATCGAGATTACGATTTACGAGGCATTACATAATATGCTTTGCTTTGCGTCAAGCGGTGATTTTCACTAAATGAGTTCGGATCTGCTTTTATTTTCAGTGGTTCCAGTCAAATATTTGCCAGTTATTTTCAACACTTGTACTAGCCTATTGTATACCATATATTAGCATGCAAGTGTCTTTAAAATTTGGCATAAATTCAGGTAAAATGATTATAAAATTCATTATCTTGCACTCCATTAAATATCCAGTTGATAAAACGGATATTGCTATAGACGTAGAGGATATTCTTGAAAAATTGGAATTGGAAATCGTAGATACTCTAGATAGTTAGACATCAGAAACGGATCCGTTGTAATGAGTTGGATGTGAGCCTGTGTATACTTAGGCGATGATAAAGCAGTATGTAGGATTAACAAGCAAGAAATTTAAATAAATCGCGTAACATGTATTTGATCATGTATCAACAAAATTTTATTCATACATAAACACTCATTTTATATGCAGTCAAGTTCATAATGAATCGTAAGGTAATAAGTATCTGAACTATGAATTACAATATTTTGAATAAATAAATTGAGAGAATCTGGCGCATGATAACTAACCAGCCTGATCAGTTTTGGAGAAATGAAGTTGCAAGGAAGATATGGCAGTGGTACCAGGGTTGCGAAGCTGATCAAGCTGTTTGTTGCCGCGGCGAAGCAAGTACTCAATGTAGAGAAAATTTTTGCGATCCACATCTTTCGCATTACGCCGAAACTCTTGCGACACTACTGACTCTATGTTGCGCCGTTCTTCCTGCGATTTGGAACGTGCTGCACGCAGAAACCCTCTGTAGAGGCTAAGTACTTGTTTCTGCATTCCAGAAAGCCTTTGACCTCTCGAGCTTCCCATTGCACCGTGTTCGTCTTGTGTCCACCAATATCTACGTTTTCAGGTAAACTCTGTCCATAACAGATACTAATTAGTTCATTTACATTAGATTACAAACACTCTGAACAATCGCACTCCTTTGAGAATCGGATTCAAATCCTTATTAGGCATTTCATCAAATAATTTATGGACTCTATTAGATAACATCATCACTTACTTACCTCAAACTCCAAGGCGATGAACGAACCAAAGAATCGGTGCGGTGCGGTGGCCTGATTCTTGGAAAGGGCAAGTTTGGTAAATGGAGCTCTCAAATGGGCTCCACAGAAATAAAAGAATTTGGGCTTCTTGGGTTTGGTTTTGGGCCCCCAACCAGAAGCCTTAATTTTTTTTTTTTTTTAATTTAAACAACCTTCTTCGCCCCGAAATTAAAATTATATTAAATTTTAATCCCTGCAAATATGTAGGGTAAATTTTTCTACATAGAATTATTTAATTATGCAAATTAAACGATTTATTATATTTTCTATTGAACATAACATTTTATTTGATTTAGATTTCAAAATAATGATGTAATTACAATACATAATGTTTTAAAGATAACAGAATTTACAACAATTTAAAATAAAATAAGATTTAATTTAAAAGTAGTAACATACTCATAATAATAATAATTTAAGTTAAAAACATTAGAAAATCTAAATTAATCCACTTTCTCAAGCTGTATATGAATATCGATATGTAACAAGAAACATTTTTTCTTACCAAACAAAAAATCGATATGTAATAAGAGAAGAAAGAACATAAAAAGTAAATTAGTATGCGAAATGAATAGGATACAATTTTATTTTATATAATATAAAATTAAAATAAATATTTTTTTG